TGTAATTCTTGTCTCAAAAAAAAAAGAATTTACTTTCTTCTGAAAAATATTATAAAATTGAAAGAACCGACTTCATCAGATGTGTCAAAGGACTTACGGATTATTGCCGTGTCGTGATCCCCATTGCTAATGCCCTGACTTCATATAATAACTATAATAAGCAAATTAAATTTGTTATAATTTAACAATCTTGATTAAAATATTAAACTTTCTAGGATTCAGAATGTATTTTGAATAAATTTGATGCTTGTGATAAACTTGATAAAGTTTGTAATAGATTTATGGATACATGAACTTTTGAAATAAGTAATTTTGAAACAAATAATTATTACTCGTGTACAGTATGTATTTTTCTGTATGTATATATACAGGATGGTCCACTTAAATCGACCATCTGAAATCGATATAAAATCGCTTATTTTTGGTGATATAAAGAAATGTTTCAAATGAAAGTGGAAGAGTTTCGAGGGGGACGTATTTTAGTTATGTTGGTTTTTTTTAAGTGGAGGCATCAAAACGATATGAAGATTACCTCCACTTTTTTAAATTTGTATGATTTGTATGATTTGTATGAATTGTATGATTTTTTTACGCAATATGATTCCTCTAATTATTTTGCATATAAAAATATTAAGGTGGTAATAGCAAAAAACCAATAGTTGACGAAATATTTCACATTTTATTCTGGCACATATTGACATAAAATGTTAAATAACTCGTAAACTATTAACTTTTTGATAATCGTATCTTAATACTTTTATGAACAGAATAATGAGATGAATCAATTAGTGTAAAGAAAACACACACAGTTGCTTATTTAAAAAATTATCCATTTTGCATACATATTTTTTTAAAGCAATGATATGTTTTCTTTATACTAATTGATTCATCTCATTATTCTGCCAGAATAAAGTGTAAAATATGTCGTCAATTATTGGTTTTTTAATGTTACTACCTTAATACTTTTATATGCAGAATAATTAGAGGAATCATATTATATAAAAAAAATCATACAATTCCATTTTAAAAAGTGGAGGTCACCTTCATATCTTTTTGACGCCTCCACTTAGAAAAAAAACAACATAACCAAAATACCTCCCTCTCGAAAAAATTGTCTCACTTTCGTTTGAAACATTTTTATGTATCATCAAAAATAAGCGAAATATTCAAGATGTTCGATTTAAGTGGACTACCTCGTATATTTATTTATTATAGTTTGTATATTCATTTATCTAACATTAATTTTGAAGTCTATATAATCTACGGGATATCATGGTTAGATGCGGTTTCGTAACGATACTATTGGTGCGCGAGAACTAAAAATAAATCTATTTCGAGAATACGAGGGCAAAAGAGAAATTTAATTTGAATCTCTCAATCTTGCACTTGATAAAATGTAGATAGCTCGAGATTAATCTGTAGTTTATCTCTAGATTAACTCAGCTCGCTTCCTCTCTTTCTCTCTGAAGTATAGTTAGCCTAGAATTTCATCTAGAAAAGGAAACTCTTCTCCAAATGCTCTCAGATAAAAATTTTTGCAATATTTAAGAACTCTTGTTTGGGGATAATTTAAATGCAGGCTTTCAATTTAAATGCATTTTCGTGATAATTTAAATTCAATTAATCACTTTTTCGCTTGATTACTTAATCTATCTCGATGACAATAATTCAGCGTGAACGCTGATATCGAATTAGAAACAAATTAATCATTTTTCATTATTTAATATCACTAAACATATGTATCCACACACAGAAAAATATCATTCTATTGCTTAGAAAAGTAATAACTTAATTTACTTTCTTTCTTTTAAGTAACGATTATCTATAACAAAGAATATTTTCTTGATAATGAGCTTAAAACAAATTTTAGAAAAATTAATTAATACGCACTGAAAACAAGAATTTATTTTCTTTCGAAGAGTATTATAAAATTCATCGAAGATTTTTAGTAATAAACAAATAAAATCTGTTTTAATTTAACAATAATCTTTATTGAAGTATTAAACTTATCAAAATTCAGAATAATGTTTTGAATAAATTTAATGCTTGTAATAAACTTATGATAAATATCTGCAGATATTTGAATGTTTAAAATATTTGAAACAAGTAATTATTAATTATTTCCGTAGAGTATGTATTTTTCTACGTAAATTTATTATCGCCTCAATGCTTTTTCGGGCACGTGATGCTTTGCATTCAACAGTGATTTTCGCAACGTGAAGCTTGACTTGCTCCAAATTTGTCCGATATCGATATCCCATTCGGCGTTTATTATTATCGCACATGTTGCTGAAATCAGATATAGGTTCAACGAATCGATGAAGCTGAACTCCCTCGTCGAGCAGATCGCCATTAGATTTCTGTCCCCGGATTAATTAGCACGCGACCATTAGCGCGAGGCAACACGACACGTAGACAAGTCGCGTATCTTCCAGTCGATCCCGAGACCGACAGACCGGCAATCCGAATGCGAGAATGTCCCTACGACTCGCGGGAGAGGCGCCCATGTACCGTACACATGGAATCGCACGAGTGACGTTTCATCCGCAAAGAGAACCGTCATCCGGATCCAGCGGTATTAGATTTGCGGAGTTAATAGCGGAATTAAATTGCTATTTAGTATTTATGCGCGAATAGCAATCAACGCTTCGTGTTCTCGCGAACATTGCACATTCGTCAATCCTTTATAATCCGATTTTTTGGTGTATAAAAAAATTTATACACGGAGAAAATTTTATATTAAGTTTTAATATAATTTTAAATTACACTTTACTATGTCTTGAATTTTCGTATGGACCCTCACAACATAATTCCGACTTAACTTTTACTATGGTAATACTAGTTTTTATCACATAAATAAAGTAATTATTTTGTTAAGCCATATTCTAACATGAATAATTAATTTTTACTATGGTACGCAAACAAAATTTGCTAGGTATATATTTTTTACTTTTCTCTACAATACTAACTTTCATTCAACAAGATTTGATTTCGTAATAAAAAATTTTATTATATAAAATTTACTATAAAAAAGTGTAAAAATTACGTTGTTTATTGTTTTTAAAAAAATAATTATAGCATTCAAAACTTATAATTTACATGAAAACCGCAGCTACTACCACATTATGGTAGTTTTAATCCTTGAACACCATACTGGGTTATGGTAACCCAGTCCGTTTGAAAAAAATGCGCAGCGTTTATGAACGGTCAGAAGTGTGGGAGTGGGAACAATGGGGGGGGGGGGGGGGGGAACTTTCTTTGCATTGATGCATTAGATCCCGGGATAAAAGCAAAAGAAGACTCCAGGGTTACCGTAATCCATTGGTTTGTTTTTTGTTCCTGCACTAGCACTCTCTTCCTCACTTTCAACAAATATCAAACATATACCCATCTCACTTCAAGTTCCAAAAATGTACACTAGTTCAGCCACAGAAAACAGACCTTATGTGTGGTGAAATCAGGTGGCGAAAATAGTGTGGTGTTTAAGGATTAAATATAAAATTTTCTCCATGTACATTCGATAGATAGAAATTAAAATTTGATTATATCACTAAGGCTTGAAAAATTTAAACATATTTATCTAATAAACATAAAAAATATATGATAAATATACAAGTTTTAGATACACATTAATAAATTTTTAGATATATATATTAGAATTTTGAAGATGTATAAAAATATGTGTATATATATATATGTATATAT